TAAGATCGACTTCAATGTCTGTCTCGTGGCCTCCATCTTGTGACGTCATGTGTGAGGAGCTACAAGTGTCTCCCACCCAACAATATCACGGCCATCAGTATTTTGTTTTTAACGACGGTAAGTCCTATGATTCAGTAGGTTGTTCTACAAGAGCAATTTATCGTCGCGAAGTGACCACATGTACTGGACTGTTCAACTTCAAAAGTTCTGGAGAACCTCAGGGGTTGAAAGTAGTGAACTTCTTGGCTGCAAATTGATTGACGCAAGCGAGGGATTTCAATACACTTGCATTTACAGATCTCACAGCTTGTATCAATTTCAGGTTCTCTGTCTGAATACCATACTGTGACGTGTGGCCTGAAAGGAGGAAGTGCGCAGTCAGAAAAGCACAACAGAGGCATCTGTTACTAGAACACCGCTCGGTAGTCGTACTTCTGCTACAATAAGGAGCAATGAATAGATCGTTTCCTAGTCGGCAATTGTAAACACGTTCACGTGACAACGCGCGTATTAACAGACTGGTACCACAGATACGAAAAAGTTAACGCTTCTAGGAGATGACTCCTATCCCAGCCGCTTAGCAGGGATAAAAGAGGCCAGTTGAGATGCCGTGAGTTCAGAAATGAAGTCGGAAGAAGAAGCAGAACACCACAGAACGCGAAGTGACTCGGCAGTGAATGAACGCGCTTTCGAGAGCGAAGGAGAGCCATTCAGAGAGGGATTCGCTGTATATAAGGAGCTGAGTGTGTGAACTGTTATAACCGAGTGTGATTCTAATAGTGACGCCAAATAAACCTAATCATCAATTGTTATTCACATCACCCCGAACACGTGACAATACTTTAACTTAAATGTTTCCTTCCACACTGAAAATGCGGGAAGGAAGTTTCTCCGAAACGTTGGTAAAAGCGGACCTAAGTACATAGTATCGCATCCCAACAGACAGTTACCGGGAAGTGAATGTGAAATCGTATTTTTCATTGGATTCATGCGATATTTCCGCAAAGAACAGAAACAGAGGCAAAGCCCTGTCCGTCTACACCCATTGTGTAGGAAACAACTTGAAGGAAACGTGATCTACACAAAAATGTGCTGGACCTGTAATAACGTCTTGGAACCTGAGCTGAACTTCATCAAAGTCCACTCATCAACAAAATAAGTACTAGGATAACACTTCAAATCCCGGTGCTTACCACGTTTACCACATGCTATAACATTCTAACATTCCCACAGAAGGCATTTATGGGGTTCGTATCGTTCTCACAGTAATTAGCGATTGCTTCCTTAAGCAGCGTGAACAGGCCGGTCTTGTAGCGGAGAAGTTATGTGTTCTCTATGAAGTACGACATAAGCTTTTATAAATAATTTAGATGAAATTCTGCAATTTAAGTGTTAAATTAGTAAATAACAAAATATTTTTCAGGCATTGCAGTTTCAAATTTCACAACGTATCGTTGTCCAGTTGATACATGGGTGAAATGGTTTGCGTTAGCCGTGGCAACAGCTGCAAAAATCTTTGCACGTTGTTCGTCAAAGGTTTATGGTGGGGGTGGGTGGAGGAGGGTCATACTTCATATAGCGCCACAGGGAACTTTGCTGCTGTCAAATAGGGTAGTAACCTAGGGGATCGAGCAATGGGAATTCCGTGTTTGACTTCGCGACAGCCTTGTAAACGAGAAACGTCTGCTGTCTGACTAAAATGTACATTGTTATGCATTTATAGGTTTACTCACTTCGAAGATTTGATTATTCAGAAGTACTAATATAGAAACACTCTCTAAGAGAAAACGCCAATGACCTAGAAAGTAGGTTTCGAATACTTTTAGGTTTAGTAAACACGTAACGAAATAAAACTAAAATATTTTCCTACTCTGTGCAGTGTAATATGAACAGAGTTATTAATGGATTACAGTTAATTTGTGTCAAGAATAAATTAACATCAAGGCAAATAAGATATATGAATTAAAAAAGAATAAAATTGGAATCATATATTAATATGTTCTTCTCGTGAAGAACCGACAAATCTTCTGCTAAACTGGCGACAGCAGCCAAGCGACCAGCGTGGTACTCACGGGAGTGTCATGAGGGAAGCTGGTAGAGTCCATGACAGTGAAGGAACCGTTTCTTAATTTATTTCTGTACCGCAGTATGTGATTGTTGTTTGGGTTGAATTATAAATAATACATCCTTTATGTATTTTATCACAGTGTGGATTTCCATCATTGTGCAACTATCATATAAGTAGGAGATTTAAATTCAGGGCAGTATTGCAACAAGTGACGAAAATGACGGGTCCAAAATGGTGATTGGATTTATTGGTACTTCGGTTACTAGTTCTGTTAATCAAACTCAGTTTAACTCTATGGCTATTCTACACACCTTCGCTTCACGATTGCACCCGCACTAGGATTCTCCGTCTTCACTAGTCGTCTCCTGGCAACGGGTCTCAACACAGAAAGTAGCATTTCAATTCACTGTGAAGTCTTACTGTTATTTTGTCTTCAGTCACTCTGCACTCCTCTGTTCTAATCTGTACTTGGCGAATCTTCACAGTTCATTAAGGACATGCTTCATTCTCGTCCTAGTACTCTAAATTGAGTTGTAGTACCGAAAGTTTTCAAGATAACTCCTCGGCAGGGACCATGCACAGAAAACACATATCATGTGTTCGTTTACCCGCCAGTCCATGGCGCTCTTGCTGGACCTACAGAAAACACTACCCAGCTATATGTTCGTCAAACTGACTACTGCCTAGCAAATAGCTATAACATTCGTCCTATTGTTCAGTGCGCGTATCGCGGCCTGTATATCGAGCCGTTGCCTAACAATGATTTGAGCAAATCCGTTGCAATATATTGCCACATGTAAGGTGATACGCGTGACAAAATGACGGGTTCTAGTTCCGATTATTGGATTTATTAGCAGCTTGGTTACACCCTCTTTTAATTACACTGAAATTACAGTGTTATCGCTTATTTGCCTCATAAATCACGGTTACACGCACACACTAGTCCTCCCCTGGTAATGCAATTAAAGCACAGGAACCAGCTCTTCAGATCACTCCAAATATTTCACATAATTAAGATCTTCAGATCACACTTTAAATCTTCACAGTTCTTCTATGAAATTCCCGTTGTTGTCACTCTTACGGTTACTTAAGAAATCAGACGCTCTCAAATACTCTGAAACACACACTAAACTGAACTGTCAGAGTCACATTGCGGCTGACGGTCAGTCAGTCAGTAAGTCTTGGTGTCAAACTCCATCTGGGCTCATGGCCAGATATGTATTACTTTTTTGACATTTACAGTTTTTTTTTGTGGGGCGCCCTCTGTGACGAGAGGACAGGGTTGTCTTTTGTATATACTGCTGGCCCTTGCCAGGGCAGTCTTTCTCGGGTCCGAGTCGCGACCATATTTTACCGGTGATTGTATAGGAACTGTCACGGCGCTGGCCGCGTAAAGAAAAACACCGCATTTCCATTATTACCTTGCGTGTATTCAGTCGCGAGGTGTTTAGCGTTGTTACCTAGCAACGCTGTCTCCATCCACGTTACAATATTCATTTCACGGATGAAGAACCGACAAAGGTATTCAATTATCGCCAAAGACAAGTTACTCCCCAAGCCAACATGTTCAGAACGCTTCTGCCGTCCAGTGATTATTGGAACCATTCCCGAAAGAGTAAATGCGCCACAATAAGTAAGACAATTCAGAACTATTCTAAAAGTGTCTAGTCGTATCAGCAACAATATTAATCGGAAAGCAGATTGTTCAATTTTTTAAACGACCTTCCACATGGAATTAGTGATTGTCGTCCTGAGTCCCTCCCGAAGAATGAAATACATCAACAAACAATGACCAACAATCCCTTCCTTCAATGTTATTACCGAATCACCGTCCATAACGGTCAAATTCACATAACAATATTCACACACTCTCTGCAACTTAAAGACACTGAGAAATATAAACCAGCTTTATCATTTACGGACTAGAAATCATACAGCCACTAAATCTATGATTTACTGACTCGAATATGATCTTTCTATTCCATAATTTCCTGCATCGTTAAATGAGAACAGACATTAATCAACATATTGTATGCCATTTTTCTGTATGAAAGGGAGTTAAATTCGATGGAATTATAAAGAGAGAAATTAAAATTTACACTGCATTTTAGTTTACTTTTATTGGCAGCCCCTAAAGATGTGTCCATACACGTATTGCACGAGCTTGGTTTTCGTTGAGTTTGCATAGAGATAGAGTGCAGTACGCTCTGTACATATAGAATATTCCAGGTAAGAACAACGATCTATGTTCTAGGTTGCATAGCTACTGGAACTGGCATATAAATAGCTAGATTCTAGATAACGGAATTATTTGTAAGATATTGTGACATGTTGACCCCTACCTCCCCAGCGGAACGTAGCGGTAAAGTAGCGCTCGCGTAATAGGCGAATCATCACCCCGCCACTCTCCCCGCGGTGACGTCACGAGCGGAGCCGAAGTGAGCCGAGCGGAGCCGAAGATAGCCGAGCCCCCGCATCCTGGTAGCTATGCAACGCGCAACGTGCGGTGACGCCACGGTAACGCGGAACCGCTTCCCACTGTGACGTGGCCCGCAACAGGCACCACTGCGGATATATAAGGGAACCGCACANGGAGTGTGTGATACAGTGATACATAGCTCCCCTACTGTAAACGTCTAGACCACTGAAGACAGAGTGAACTGATTTGCGCATAGGGTTATAAATCGTGAAACCCCGCAACAGTGTAAACAGATTAATGCGATTAGGGTTATAAAGTGTGAAACCCCGCAACTGTGTGATAAGTAATTGTAGCCGATACTTGTAGATTGTTAAATAAACCAATTAACCATCTCTACTGCGTCTTCAGTAACGGAAACACGTTACAATAGGTTGGTAGGAAGCTACAGGCTGTGATTATGGATAATCCTACCTTATGCTCGATATATCGATATATTATTGTTGGTGTTTTTACCTAGGGAAGCGTCATATGTGTTCATGTACTCCGAGGTCATGAACTGTGAAACGAGTGCAGTCTTGCCCACGCCAGCGTCTCCCAGCAAGACAACTCGATACTTGGTGATCTCCTCCACACTTCCCTCCGAGCTGATGTTGTTGTAACTGCTCCCACAGCAAGACCCTTCAAACGGAGATCTCTCCCCAGGGCTCACACCGCTCAGGTTGCTGTGGTTGCTATGCCTGCACACACAAGATAGATGCCAGAGGTTAAGACACCTCGAATTGCAGTACACTGCTCAAATGTAAATTAGTCCTTGTAACTAGAAAACGAGCCGTGAAAGCCATAGGCAGATTTAGGCTCTCTTGCGCCCTGATCCATACTGATTGGGCCGCCTTTAGTTTCTTGTCAAGAAATAAGTGTGCCACAAAATGTATGAGGAAAGTCGGGAGAAAATGTATTAGGCAATTTCTTCGTAATTATAAGTACGAAGCTAGGTCTATTCCGATCTGTTTTGTCCGAATGATAAGTTAAATAGTTAGTTGAAAGTATAAAACAAAATATATTCTATTTTTACTATTAATGAAGAGAAAATACATTTCAAATTTACCTCTACTAACTTGTACTTAAATAAGGCAATGAAGCGTTATTACACGGCATTTCTGAATTCGCAGACTCAGTTGCTCAGTACCCAAAGCAGCTTTCCCCGAGAGTGTTGAACGACAAGGAATAAATTCTATCTTAGTAGTCAAGAGCTCTTGTGAGTTTTGATTCAATGTTGAGGATGGTTAAATAGGTCACATGGTTTTCTGACATTAGTGAATGCAGGCAGGTCGTCGATGTGCAGAGGTCTCTCGGCAGAGCAGCTGGAAGCAGGAAGCTCCTGAGCACGAACTGGCCATTGAGTGTTTGCTACGCTCTTTAGCTTTGCATTATCATATTCTGTAAACCGATTTTGTAGTTCTTCCCAAGAGGGGTGAAGGCAGTGAAGAGCATGTATAAGCATCGGAGTTGTGCGGAGAGCAGTAGCTTTCTCAACAAGCTGCTGCAAACAGCCCAATCAAATCTAATGAATGAGCAAGGCAGGGTACATAGATTTCCACAGAGGACGCTTTTTCTATTGCGATCTGCAAGCCAGAGCAATCTCCAGGGATGTTGGGAACTGTCCTCTGCAATTTGCAATGTCGATGTCGTACGCTTTTAGTATCCTGAAGACAGGATGCAAAACCGCTGAGCAGCCTATGCCAAAAGACTCAGTAGAAGGAGGGCGGGATCACTCAGCTGCTCTCACGGATAATTTAGAATCAATTGGATTTCATTAACATGTTGATTTTCATTGTGAACTCTTCTCATTTCAGTACGTTCTATTTTTTTTAAAAGAGCATCCAAGGAAAAGTTGTCCCTGTGTTTGACTAATCAAGCACTAAGCCATGAAGCGTATGGGAAATGGATGTTACATTCACATTTTCTTCACCTCGGCACTAGCTGGAGGTGAGTGGTTAGCTTCACGGCCTTGCCGTTTTACCCCCCGGTGTAACCGCACCATTGAAATTCCTCCCCCCTCTTTGTATTTCAGTAGCTTATCAAGTAGACAATAAGAATTACGAAGAAACATAGGTTTAAGACACACAGTCAGAACAAGCGGTAGGCGATGAGCAGGGAGACCGAACTAGCGCAGACAAGGACATCTGCTAGTCCTTGCGTCCAAGCCTCTGGTGTTCTTTTCGAAAAGGGCAGAAATGATACTTCAAGGAACACCACTGAGTTTCTTTAGAAATTGGGAAGCTGACTTACAGCGGCAAGCCACTTTGAGAATTCGAGAAGTGACAGTTCCTACCAGCCGTAAGTCAAAAGTGGGAGTGCCAGGAGATCATTAGCAACCCCTCATAAGTTCCATCGCTGTCAATTTCGCCGTTTGGTATTTTAGGCCGAAATTCCCTCTAAAACAATCGGTCATTCGCCGGAACCAATATTAAGCCAACTCCTCTTATTTGAATCAGCCTATCCGGAAAATTAGGATGAGAGGAGAAGGGGCGGATACAATTCAGTTAGGACCTCTAGCTCGGCAGAGAGTCCAGTTTGAGATTAGGAGTCTGCTGCAAACTTTCGAACTTGGCGGAGGCAAAACCCACGATTATTCTTGCTTGTTAAGTTAAATAATTCTTAGAAGTGCAAAATTTGACCATAACATAAAAGAGATCTAGCTTAATCCATAAGCGGACGGTGGTAAATCGACCTGCTCGGATAATTTGAGCAGTTCAACACCGGCTGCTTGGAATCCGAAACTAGGCCTGATTGTATGGATTTATACCGCCGAGTGACTGTAAGAAAACAATAAAGTGTTCTAGTGGTACAGTGCATTGTGTTGGTTAGAAGTGCTTCACCCTCACTTGTCCGAGCCTGACCCGTAGCCGACCTGAGGAGAGACTCATCGCCAGGAGCTAGTCAAACCCATCGCCAGGTTCCACCCACTCACGCCTTCCCTCCTTTACAATGAATCGCAAACCGCGCCTAGCTGTTTGCTGGCGCCCATAACATCAAGGCCTATCCTGAAATGCCAACCCCCGTAATCAGCAAAGGAAGGAGGAAGCGGTGTAGCCGTAAGAAGAAGTGGAGCGTGGTCAAGCCGGAACCAGCCACGCCCCAACAACTTCAACAGAGGCAGCACCAGGTAGGGCAGTCAAAGTGAAGCCGAACGTAAGGCGAACAAGACGGACGGTAAGAGAAGGTGGCAAACAACTTGTGGGCAAGAAGCCTCATAGGAGGAGGGGTAAACCGGCAACCATTTGATAGGAGGTTGGATGGACACCAGAACAGGTCTGGACGACGTGGAGAAGAGAAAATTCTTGCCCTAAGGGGTCTCGAACTCCTACCCCTCCGTCGACCAGCTCGTAGCCAGTAGCAATACCGACTACGCTATCACAGTTCCTAGACAACATCAAACACTTTTTCAAGAATTTCAATATTTATATTCGGTATCTTCAAGGAAGTGTCAGTTCTGTCTACGACACCTCGTTGTTTCTTGACTATCTCCATAACCTCCATAGCCTTCTTATGAACCCTGAACCTCTTCATCTTGTTCTCCCGTAACCCATCCAGAAAATGATAATGAAACACTACAGAAACCAACGAAGTGTGACTTTTTCAGCACAGTGCAGTCTTTCAACAGCCTCTGTCAGATTTGAATACTGAGCTCTGTTGACTTTTCGCAAGTTATAAGTCTAAATGCTATCAAAGAGATATTGAGATGAAATGAACTTGACCCTGAATAAGGCAACTCAGAATGTTAATAGCTGTTATGAATAGTTTCGACGAAAAATATAATTTGAAAGTCATAGACCTTCTTCAAATTAATTACAGAAAACCACATCAAACGGTTGTCAGAATTTGTGCACTTGATCCTGCTGATCCTCTTGCAGCGTAGCTAACTTGTAAATATGTTTACTCGTATTATTATATGACGAATGCTTATACATGTTGCAATCTAAAAGTTCCCGAAATTTAATTTTGCTTGCGAATGTTTGTGAGTACATCAAAATACCGCTAGGTGTCTCCACACACACCCTTCTTGAATGAGTGTGACAATCGGCGTCTAGCTGAGTGGTTGGGTTTAATGTTGGATACGTATTTCCACTGTTGTGTTTCCGGGAGTTTGCGGTTTTGCCATGGCTGACCTGAGAGAGCAGCGTGTCTGTAAAATGTTTTGTTTTAAACTTGGGAAAACTGTTGCAGAAACGCACACATTTTTGAAGCAAAATTTGGTGACAACAGTTTAGGCCAGACACAAACTTACGACTGGTATAAGGGTTTAAAAAGTGACCGAACATCACCTGATGATGACGATCTTTCGGGACGGCCGTTAACTGGCACCACACCAGAAATTGTCGCGAAAGTTAGGGATCTGATTCTGCAAGATCGTAGACTGACAATCCAAGACCTCTGTAACATCGTGGGACTGAATTATGGTACATGTCAACGAATGTTGTCAGAGGAACTGAACTTGAGGAGGAGTAAGGCGAAGTTTGTGCCACGACTGTTGCAAAATGAACAGAAGCAGCATTGTTTGGAAGTCTGCAGAGAACTTCAGCAACAGTTTCAAGAGGATCCAAACTGTCTTTCGAAGGTTGTCACTGGTGACGAAAGTTGAGTTTATGGCTACGACCCTGAAAGAAAGCAGCAATCGTCGCAATGGAAGAGCCCTTCTTCACCTCGGCCAAAAAAGCACGACAAGTCCAGAGCAACATTAAGTCCTTTTTTATCTGTTTTTTTATAAGGACAGGATTGTTCATAAGGAGTTCGTCCCTCCTCGTCAGACAATCAATAGAGTTTTATCGCGATGTTCTAAGGCGTTTGAGGGAGGATATGAGGAGAAAACGTCCAGAGAAGTGGCGCACGAACGACTGGGTACTCCACCATGACAACGGACGACCGCATACGCCTTACATTGTGCAGGAATTTTTGGCTAAAAACAAGATGGCAGTTGTTTCCCATCCACCGTACTCGCCAGACTTAGCTCCATGAGACATTTTCTCTTCTCCAAAATGAAAATCAAGTTGAAGGGGCGAAGATTTGATACAGTTGAGGAAATTCAAGCGGAAACGCAGACTGTACTAAACACCCTAACAAAAAAAAAACTTGCAGGATGCATCTGAAAAGTGGCAGAAACGCTGGGATCGGTGTATGCGCTCCCAAGGGGACTACTTTGAAGGTGATAGTGCAGAGTAAGATCCAGGTAAGACGTAATAGATTTTATTAATATATTTCTGGAACTTTTGGAGTACACCAAGTACATTCTGGTTCTATTTACTATTTTAGTGTTTTCTGTTGCCGCCATAATTTCAATAAAATTCTCCCTTGAACTATAAAAACATTTCCCTTCTCTTCTTTCCTGCTACATTCCATCAAATACATCATTCAAAATCTCATCATATGATATTACCTTTTTTATCTTTTAGTCCACAAGATAGCTTACATCATCACGTTGAAATGAAAAACAACCTTAAAAATACCTCAATTTTGTAGCTATAATGCTGGCAAAAAACAGAGAATCCATTAGTCGCAATTATGTAAAGTCTGTTGCCAACCCAAATTAAAAATCCCGTAGATTTAGCGACTTGTCTTCATATTTGGCAACATTGGTTTCTTAGAATCCGCTTCCCCATTCAGTACGTTCTTATCCTTTGCACCGATCGTCCATATTCTGATAAACTTTTTCTGTTATCGACAATCAATTTTCCTCAAAATATTGCTCTCCTCAAAATTTTCCGTCCCCAGAAATTTTACCTCTGACTCATGGCCCAATAGGCGCATATGTAAACACGTGTTTTAGAAGAGGTGGGCACGCTCCAGCCGCTGCGTCACCAGAGAAAGATACTGCAGTATGAACTGGGTATGTGGTTGGGTTATCTTCATCGCCGTTTCCATCGCGGCGAAGGAAAGGAAAAGTACCGTGTGGCGGGACAATAAAGTTCGCGAACTCGCCAACGTATGCTTGCCGTGACAGTAATGGCCAGAAAGCTCAGTATGGTTTGATGACGCTAGCATATCAGCATTTCACAGCTGTGTTATTAATCTAGAGTAGTCTCTGTCTTAGTGGCGTCTGCTATTGCCTGAGTGTGTTTTGGTGCGCCGTCGTGAGAATGTCAGAGCTTGAATTAGAGCACTGTCTGTGAGGGAGTTTTTATCTAGTAAGCAAATAACTGTGCTGGAACACCCTCCCCTTCATCAGATCTAGCTCCCAGTGATTTTTTTCTGTTCCCGAAGATAAAGGAAATACAGAAAGGAAGGCATTTTGATGAAATTGATGACATCAGGAGTAATACGAAGGTAATTCCACAAATCGAGTTCCAAGATTTTTGTGAAGGGTGGACTAGGCGCTGGCATCGGTGCGTAGTTTCCAAAGGGAGTACTTTGAAGGCGACCACAATGATATTCAGCAATGAGTTATGTAGCACTTTTACCGCGATGAGTTCGCGAATTTTATTGTCAGACCATATTGGTAGTCTC